AAAATCAAACAAGGCTAGAAAGAAAAAATAAAAAAGAAATCAAATATAATGTCTAAACAAGATGCATATTATCATGAAAATTGCCAAAAAGTTGCATGAATGAGCAGGAATACAAAGAGCCTAAAGGGCGAAAAGGACAAGTTAGAAAAAGACACCGTATTACAGAGCTGAAGTCCGTGATGGTAAGAAACGCGGAGAAAGCTCCTAACAGCGTCTTGGTTCCCGATAGTCTGCAAACGTCACTCTACAACTGAATGTGGTCCACTCATAAAACAAATTCTTTATGGAAAAGATTTTAGCAATGTGCCATCCATAAAGCATTTCATAAGTAATGAAGAGACTGCGATTCAAGAACTCGAAAAGGTTTTGAATACCCAAATAGAATAGTCCGGGTTATTCACAGACCTTGAATGTCCCTTTATAGAAGCAATCTCAAATGGAAAATGTGAGCTTGGCATTGTTGAAGTCAAATGTCCATCCTCGGCATATCAGATGGATCCAGAGGACGCCATTAAAATTAAAAAAGTTGATTTTCGGTTACCTACACTAAATGACACGTTCTAGATAAATAAAAAACATAAATGGTATTACCAAATTCAAGGGTAACTGCGCATTACTAGGCAAGATACTTGTATTTCCTATTTGGACAGGCCCTGGCAAAATAAAGTAACAGAGTATAGAAAAATATCCACAATTCTGGAAGGAGAAAATGGAATCTCATTTGATTCGGTTTTACAAAAATTGTCTCCTCCCAGAATTTGACCCATTGACCCAAGACCAATTGACCCAAGACAGACTAGAAATATGGAGCTAAGAGCACATTCTTTACATATTGAAACATATATTTTAAAAATAAAGAATTGATGACGTTACATTTGTTGTTTTATCGAAATATATCGACAGGTCATTCAATCAAGTCCGCAGATAAAGACTCGTCATAATTGTAGCGGCGCTGTCGTCGCGCCACAAGCGAATATACACCGAAGCCTAAATCACGCTATCAACATTCCGAATCATAAACAGTATATATAGAACATCTCCGAACTATTACTCGGAGCGTTGGCCGCTCCCCGGGCACAACACCTTGCCCGGCGGCAGATCTCCCCTTTTCTTTCTACGGCCACAGTGGTGACTTTCCGACGTGATCTGAACACGCAACCAAACAACCTTCGGAAACTTCAAGCTTCGTCATCGTCATAGAATACCGCACCCATTCGCTCCCGAGCAGATATCGTCTGCAGTCTTCATATCCTGCAAGCCATCTAGCTTCACAAGGTTCATTGCAGCACTGGAATAATAATGCTTCTTGTTCCTTCAAGCTACTCTCTGCGCTATACAGTGTTCGGCACGGCTCTGAGCCTTACTGCTCGCCTCTGCTTCACAGAACTCTCGCAGATTAATTGCCTTCTTCTCGACTCACCGCAGACTACAAGGCAATCTCCTGGCACTTGCACATTCGTCGGCAACGAGGCTGCACTATCGACCTCCGGTCTGAGCAGGGGGTTATGTAGCGGCGCTGTCGTCGCGCCACAAGCGAAATACACCGAAGCCTAAATCACGCTATCAACATTCCGAATCATAAACAGTATATATAGAACATCTCCGAACTATCACACGGAGTGTTGGCCGCTCCCCGGGCAGAACACCTTGCCCGGCGGGAGATCTCCCCTTTTCCTTCCTCACCGGCCACATAATTAATAAAACGAGCCCAAACTCGGCACACTTAGTTCCACTCGTTCAGGAATTTCAGTAGTAGTTACCGAAATACACCTTCAAGTCACTTTATCAAGTTTGGAGGTAAGAACTCATCATAACCAAACTTACGCTGGTTCATTCCCTTATTCTACCTATTATCGACTATGCCGATGTATGTTACCCAGATCTATCAGAAAATCTTCTAAACAAGTTGGAGCACCTTCTTAATAATTCCATAAGATTTATTTTTGGTTTACGTAAGTATGACCACATATCATTCTATCGTTCAAAGCTTAAATGGCTACCTATGCGATGCTCTAGAATTTTACTTGTACTTTATTCAATTTTAAACGATCCAAGGTCGCCTTCTTATCTTAAGGATAATTTTCATTTTTTTTCATCCGATCTACGGTCGAACATCGACAGTCAAACCGTCTGAGGTTAAGGTTTCCACAGCATAAGTCAAATTTTTTTAGGTCATCTTTTACGATACAAGCCATACCTTTACAACTTTGGAACACCCTCCCCAACGATATTAAGAATGCCACAAAGTCTTCAAAGTTCTTCTCCGAGAACATTACCTGAAGGAAACTACAAATTAACATTATTTTCCTTAATTTTTGTCTTTCTTTTCTTCTTTTTTACTTCAGATATTTATTTCATTATATATTATTCAAACATCATATTATATATATCATTCATTTGTATATTTGTTTACGAAGTTTATAAGCATGTTATATATATATATATATATATATATATATATATATATATATATATATATATATATATATATATATATATATATATATATATATATAAATAATCATCCTTTCACGGTAAATGTTGATCCAGTGAGAAGTTAGAACAATTGTTGATCCACCTATTTGACGTGTTTGCTCAGCTCCTCGTCGCACAAACTGATATACTTTGATCCATTCTTGATGTGCGTGTGACGTCGGTGGATCTGCACTAACAGGATTTCAATATACTCGTCAGCGATTTGACCAACATTTGTTGATCTATCAACGGTCGAAAAAATCATACTGAATATGATTATTTAGATCCAGAGTATATTTAATTTATATGCGACATTTACTTAGACTAAGTGGATCCGGAGCCATAATTGACGAATTGGTACTCGAACACGAAGCGGCAACGTCACGTTCTGTGTGTGATAGATAACCCAGTAGGCTACTTCGTTATAGTAATAAGGTAAGAAAATAAGTTATCTGCTGATTTTGTGGATCAAACTTTGGCAGGTTTTATTGTGAAAAGACGTTTGTTCGAGTTTTTGTTATCGTGTGAGTAAATTTGTGTTATTTTATTCATTTGTCATAGATCAATTAGAAGATGATGGATAGTACTTTATTACAAATTATTTGTGTGTGTGTGTGTGTGTGTGTGTGTGTGTGTGTGTGTGTGTGTGTAGGTGTGCGTATGTGAGTCTGTATTTATGTGAGTGCCCGAGAGCGCGCGTGTGTGTATGCGCGTGCGAGTGCGTGCGTGCGTGCGGTGTGTGTGCGTGCGTGTGTGTTCGTCTGAGTGCGTGTTTGTGTGTGTATTGTGTGTGTGTGTGTGTGTGTGTGTGTGTGTGTGTGTGTGTGTGTGTGTGTGCACCCAGAAAACGGAGGTGGAGAATGGAGACATGGAGCCGGAGGTGAATGCAGCGTAGTATGTGGTGGTGGCGGAGGAGAGGAATTTGTGGTGAAGTCGGATAGTGGAAACGGGGTATTGTGTTGGAGGCGGAAAGAATAGTGACGGCGCGTGGTGGTGGCGGCGGAGGGAGCGGAGTTTGTTGTTGAGGCGGATGGAGCAGAGTTTATGGTGGAGGCGGAGGTAGCGGAGGTGGAGAACGAAAGCTTAGAGAGGGGTGCGTTGGTAGATGTGGAGGCGTAGGTGGCAGAGGTGTTGGTGGGTGCACTAGAGTGCAGTAAAGTGGTTACCGCGTGAGGGCACGTGAGGCTCATATAAAAGACAGTTGGTTACAGCGAAAAACAGTGTGGCTGGTAAGTGCATATCGATACTGCCCCTAAAGAATGATCTGATCGGCGAGCGCCCGTGCGCACGTAAACACGTATCGCTCCGTATTTGTATAATAATTTACGTTATAAAAGTGAAAATTTTCTTTTAAAATCTATATCCACCAACTCGTCTACAAAATTGAGGAAACTGTGTTAAATTTACAGAAGATACTTCGTGTAAATAAGTGATTTAAAAACAGTACAAAGGTGATAAAGAATCAAAATAAACTGCCGTTACACTGTGTCGTGTTAGCGTGTGACTCATCGATTGAACGAGTGCGAACGTTATTGCCTTATATGGTCACAAGAAATTACTCCGACAATATGTACTACACCAAGCTGTATGCATTTTTCACCACTTGTGCTAATAGCAAGTGCAGCCTAGCGGTCTAAGTAACGAACTTGTAAGACACCTAACTATTGAGATTGTGAGTTCGAATCTCGCGTACCGAGTTTTTTTCTTTTTGTTTGTTTTCTGTACGTGAGAGCGTGTTGCGCTGCCGTCATGTTAAATTCTGCTCAGTGTGAAAATTTTGATAAAATAGAATAAATCGATTGTGGACTTATAAACAATGCAAATTAACTGTAAATATAGTGTAGTTTAAGTGTAAGTGTAGTCAACAAAAACTAACCATTAAATCACATAAAAATAAAACGGTGCGATAAAAGTGTAACAAGCATCATGTTTATACGTGATAATAAACTCTAAAATTGAAAAGACATATAAAAACTGTATAATAAACCTTAAAAACTAACGAAGGGTGACCAAAGCAAACTTTTATGTGATAACTTAGTTTAATTAGTGATAAAGTGTAACAAGTGATTCAACAGTCACCCGCAAAATAGTGCAAAATTCAATTGACATTACTCATAATAACTGTCTTCGACAAATTTAAATCTGCAATACAAATCATAAATATCATTATTTCACCACAAAATTTAAAGTCATAATAGCCTAGTGGATAACTGCTTTGGACTACATAGAGGACAACGCCTTGTGGATTGCATATAAATTATAACAAACATTTCAGTAAAACCAGCTACAAATTTCACTAAAAATATTTGTATACTCATAGCCGAATAGTTTATACTGATAAATTCCATATTTTTTATTATTATTTTTTGATTAAAATGTCGTCATCTAAAGAAAAGCCAACCACTAAAACAAAATGTGACAAATGTAAGCAAAATTTACTAAGACGAGAATTCCTTACTTGCTCACAATGCAAACTGAAACTGGATCTGGAATGTGCAAACGTTCCATTTGTGAGATTTAATATCATGGAAGCAGAAAAGAAAAACAAATGGAGATGTGACAAATGTATTATTAAAGCAAAACAAGTGCCTAAACCATCCAATGGTTCAGAAACTGCTTCCTTATTGTCAGAAAATAACAAAATTGATACCAGCACCGTAAGTTATGAAAACGTGACAACTCGTCAACGTAATAAAATTCGCGCATCTTCGCTAGAACCGCAGGACAACACATTTGAAAAGACCATGGAAGACAACTCTTTGACTATACTCGAAGACACGCGTATGAGTCTCCCAGACCTTAACATAGCTGAACACAAAGAACTACATGATGAAATCAGCTTCTTAAAAACACAGCTAGCAAGTGCCCATTTGGAAATAGACAGATTGAACTTACAGGTTACAGATTTAAAAAAAAAGAATAAACGACCAACAAAGAAAAAGTCAACTATTAAAACAATTGATAAAGGAACCTGCACCACGTAAACTAACCCCCATAAAAAAATCCAGTGACATTACATTATCAGAAAGAAAGAAGAAACAAAACAAGCAAAGTTCTCCATCAACTTCAACAAAACCCTATCCAACGCAACCTGTAACAAATGACGTAGCTAGCTCAAAGAAAATAACAGAACAATCTAGCAACAATGCAAAGAGAAAACTATGTATTTTAAGCAATAGACATTATTCAGGCCCATTACGGTTCGTTGAAAATACGTTTTCAAGCGATTTTAATTTTTGTCGATACCTATTACCTAACACAAGCATTAAGCTTCTCTTGACTAACTTAAAGAACAAATTGTTAAATTTTAATATGAATGACTACTGTATAATTGTATTAGGTGATACTGATATAAGAGACACAAACTGTATTGAACTCATAAACACAATTGGGAATTTAATTAAGCAAATCGACTTTACCAACTTGATAATCTGTACCCCTACGTATGAACTTGGGGCACCAATACAAAATTATAAAATTGAATTATTCAATAGCTTATTCTATATAGAACTACAAAAAATACCATAATATATATTTTTTTGACTCTAATGTAAACCTAACTTATGAAATGTTCTCAAGTAGAACAGGCAGGGTAAATAACTTTGGATTACGGAATATTTTCCAAACTATAATGAAACAGATATACTTTGATTTTGAATCATTTCCTTTGACTACCTCACAAGTTGACTGCGATATGGCCGTTGAGAGTAATTCTAAATCTGACTACAACACATCTCATAATTTATTTCGTGGCTAATTCCTTATATATCCTCCATCAAAATATTGATGGCCTTATCTCCAAATCAGATTCATTAATGGTTAATTTAGAAATACTTAATGATGAACGTACTCCAATAGATATTATAGGCATAACCGAACACAACATGATAGCTAGTGACTTACATCGCCTTAATATAAGAAACTATAAACTTGCGTCTTTCTACTGCAAACAACAACGTAATGGCGGATCTTGTATTCTGATTAAAAACCACCATGAATACGAAAACGTAAGAAGTTTAATCAACCAATCGATATCTGGTGTTATTGAATGTTCGGCAATAAAATTAGTACAACATAAGGTCTACATAGTCTGTATTTACAGACCTCCTCGGTCAAAATTAGAACTAGTGGCTCTATTTTTTAGTAAACTGGATAATATATTAAGCTCCGTTACTAATAACAGCAACTATAAATTTATTATATGCGGTGACTTCAATATTGATGTGCTCAAAAATGATAAAATATCCAGAGATTTTAAACAGCTATTATCTAAATATAATACAAAATGCCAATTTCATGAACCCACTAGACCTCGCAGTAAAACATGTTTAGATAATAAGTTACATAATATTCGTAGTGCAAAAGGAGAAGTCATAGAATTGACAATTTCCGATCACTCTGCTCAAACCCTTAAGATACCTATCAAAAAAACATGTCGGCTAAAATACTGGTATACTTACCACCGAGATTTTTCTCTCGATAATATAAGGAAGTTTATGAACTGCATCAAAAGTCTAAGTTTCAGTGAAGCATATGAGACAAGTTGTCCAAATAAAGCTTTCAACTCATTTCATGACCTTTTCACACTTTTTTTACAACTTATGTTTTCCAGAAATCAAAATAAAAATCTCTACTTTGAACAAACCGAAATGGATTTCAAAGGGCATTAAATTATGTAGTAAAAAACGTTGTAAGCTCCTGTGGAAATATCGACTATCTCCGTCACCAACAAATAAATTAATATTTACTAACTATAGTAGAAGGTACAAGAGAATAATTAATCTTACTCAAAAGGCACAGAATGACTATTATATAGCTCAGTCAAAAAATAAATCCCAAGCAACGTGGAAGATAATTAATAAGTATAATAGCAGCCTTCCTAAGGAACAGATTAACAGTATATTAAGTAACGATAAAGAGGTAACTGAACCGACAGAAATTGCGAACGCCTTTAACGACTTTTTTACAAACTCATTGGAAACAGTCGATATGGACAAGCCCGAACCTACTTCTATTCCACATAGTCAACGTAACTCAATTTTTTTGACCCCAATAATACCCTTAGATGTTGTTAAATCTATTAATTTATTAAAAAATACTAATAGTGTAGGTTTTGACAATGTTTCCACTAAGATTATTAAAACAGTAGGGAATATAATAGCTCACATCTTGTGCTACATTATAAATTTATGTTTAGAACAGGGAATATTTCCAGATATATTGAAATTGGCAATTACTATCCCAATATTCAAAAAGGATGACAACAAGCTGTTAAAAAACTATCGTCCTATTTCACTAATTTCAATATTTTCAAAGTTAATAGAACACATTATATATAAAAAAATAAACGATTACTTTGAAACCAATAATCTATTTTCGAAGCATCAATACGGCTTTCGAAAAGATAAATCCATTAGTATGGCTATATACGAGTTTTTGGAAAGAGTCGTAAAAAACGTTAACAACCGAAAGCCTACACTAGCACTATTTATGGATATGACCAAAGCATTTGACAACATTAATCATAAAACATTACTTAACAAACTAGAAAGGTATGGTATAAGAGGCAACGCCCTTAAGCTAATCGAATGTTACTTAAGTAATAGAAGACAAATTACACATATAACCAAAATTGACTCTAAGACCGGTGAAAATAAAATATACAGATCGAAAGAGCGTCAAGTAAACTATGGAGTACCACAGGGAAGTGTACTGGGCCCTCTCCTTTTTATTATCTATATAAATGATTTTCCTAATGTAATCAACCATCATATGACTATTTTTGCTGACGATAGTACTGTTTTATTTACTTATGATAATGAGAATAATATAAATATTGACATTAATAATACATTGACATCTTTATTCAAATGGCTGACATTAAATAACCTAACAATTAATTTGACAAAAACACATGTAATAAACTTTAAACAAAGAAATAATTATCCTTTAAATTTTGACATTAACTACTCTGGGAATTCAATTAAAGATTTTGATTTTGTAGTGTCTACCACAAAATTTTTGGGTTTGACTATAGATAATAAGCTGACATGGAAACCTCATATTAATAATCTAATTAAAAAACTAAACCAATTCTCTTATGCCCTTTATAAACTAAGGAAGGTTTCCAGTGTTAAAACTCTTCTAACAGCCTATCACGGATATGTTGCATCAAACTTAAGGTATGGAATAATATTTTGGGCCAACACAACTGAAAAACAAAGTGTCCTCAAAGCGCAAAAAAAGTGTGTTAGATCGATGTTCGGTCTAAATCAGGATGATTCATGTGAACCGTACTTTCGCAAATATAAAATTCTGACTCTACCGTGTATGTATATATATGAGGTTGCAAACTTTGTTCGAAATAACCCAATTTATTTTGAAATGAATACTGCCGGAAGTCGTCGTGAAGGAACATTGAAAGTTAATCACAAATGCAAACCACTTCTTCGAAGAATGTGTGTAAATTGCATGGCACCAAAAATCTATAATAAAATAATCCCGTTAAATATACGATTAATTAATGATATCAAAAGATTTAAAACTGCGCTCAATGGCTTCCTTGTTGAAAAAGTGTACTATGACATAAGAATATTTTTTGATGACAAAATGTAAAAATATACTTCAATTTTGTTCATATACCTCTAAGGTGAAACATGGCTGTATCTTATAATAATTTTATATGTGACATCCTGTAATACCCATGCTTATGAATTAATAAATGTTTGATTTGATTTGATTTGATTTGAAGATGTTACTAAGAGTTTATTTATTTTTCCGAATATCAGCTTGGATACCTATTGGTACTAGAGACAAAGTGAAAAGAACTTTTGTTTTGTGACGGTTTCATCATAACTAACAAAACAAACCCAAACTCGGTATACCTAGTTCTACTAGTCCAGGTGTTACAGTGTTAGTTACCGAAGTACACCTTCAGGTCACTTCAGCAAGTCCGGAGGTAAGGACTCATCATAACTAACAAAACGAGCCCAAACTCGGCACACCCAGTTCTACTAGTCCAAGAGTTCCACTAGTAATCCCGAATTACATTTTGAGGTCACTACATCAAGACCGTAAGGTAAGGTCTCATGATAATATCTCATGTAATAGTACAATTCTATACCTATCAATTTTGTAAACGTGTCCTTAAAAATTGATTATGAAGATGTACAAAACATGTTATCTGGTTTATGGAAAACACACACACACACACACAAACACGCAAGCGCGCGCGCAAACATGCACACATGCGCATACGCACAAACGCATACACACACTCACACATGCACACATGCCGCGCATACACGCACACACACACACATAACAGTGCACACATGCGCACACGCACACACATTCACACACACACACACACACACACACACACACACATACACACAAACACACACACACACGTACGCACACGCACACATATGCACACACACGCAAGCAAACACGCACTCAGACGAATACCTTATGTCGCCGTTGCCACCACTTCCGCTACAAGAAGGGGCGTTGTCGAGTAATTCGTTAAAAAAAGTCGTTTATTTTGACCACAAGGATCATAGATGTTAGTAATAATACAAATCTTAAAACTAATTTTTGTAAAACTTAAAACTGTTTACCTAATTTTAAAACTATATATAAGACAGGCCCGATTAGTCAGCACGTGCACTATATGACAATGGTTCAGGTACTGACCTCAAACCTGTCAGAAAATGCCCTCAGGATACCATTGGAACTGGCCCACACCCTGCGCACCAGGGATGTGCATCGTTTACGCATGGTGGTGTAGAAACAGTCCACACGCGCATCCGCGAACATACCCGGCGCATTACAATAACGAGGTAGACCAAAAAGCACCCTGAATGCATTTCATAACATGCATTTAATCTGTAGCTTTTACTGCCAAAGATACGAAACGGCAACGTCGCGGCTGCATACAGCCAATCCGATCGTTTATCTTATCGTTTGCTGTGCTCTGATTGGCTCATTTAAATCGGATCAACATTTTCCGTAACCATCGCAAGGTAGATTTGTATATCGGATCAACTTCGGCCAACGCTAGCAAAGAGTCCCGTGAGTGCAGATGTTGATCCGGTCGGAGCCACATTAGTTACCAGAGATGCATATTGGATCAACAAAGTGCTCGCGTGAAGTCACGTCTGATCAACATTTACCGTAAAGAGATCTATATATATATATATATATATATATATATATATATATATATATATATATATGTATGTATTATTGTATGTATATTTATACTATATGTGTATATATTTAAATGTATATGTGTATGTATGTACTATGCATATATGTATATATCTATATATATATTTGTATGTATATATTTTAATGTAATTATTTACGTATAATGGTCGCACCTGCCAACAATTATCCTTGGCACCCAGGGTTGACTGGCAGAGAATGCCACATGGCATTAAGTCCGCCCTATGTACCCCTTTAGCTTAAGGTGTTACGTTTAAGTTTTTAAATAAATAAATAATCACCGAAACGAGCTCAAGCTCGGCACACCTAGTTCTTCTCCTCCAGGAGTTCAAGTAGTAGTTAATGAATAACACCTTCAGGTCACTCCATCAAGTCCGTAGGTAAGCACTCATCATAACGAAGAAAACGAGCCCAAACTCGGCACACCTAGTTCTATTCGTCCAGGAGTTCCAGTAGTAGTTACCGAAATACGCCTTCAGGTCACTTTATCAAGTCCGGAGGTAAGGACTCGTCATAATTAATAAAACGAGCCCTATCTCAGCACACATCTGTAAAAAATTTGTAAAAACGAATTTTTTATGGAACCGCCCCTATATGTAAAGAATTGGTGATTTTTTTAAATTTGCGTACCCCATTTTTTAGGGTATCGTTAATTAGATATTTAAAAATAGTAGGGGCTTTCTTCAAACGTTTTTCGACACAGACTTTCATTTACGAAATATTAAAAATTCTAAATGGTCATTTTTTTAGAGTTGCGTGTCTTTCACCCCCTACATGCCAAACTGCTATCTTGAACACTTAAAAACTTTCCAAGATTTTAGCAAATATAACGAGTTTACTAGGAAAATTGTTAGTTTACTAGCAACAGTCTCCCAACATAACTATGCAGTTGAGTATTTAAAGTAAATCGAAATTCCGTATAAAATGACTAAATGATCTGTAAAATCAAGTTTGTATTTTTTAAATACATCGAGTTTGGGCTGAAAGATCTTGTAAGAGTTCTCTATGGCTCATACTAACTTCGGGAACCTATCCTGTGCGTGGTCGGACACGAAATTACCCGTTTTTTAATACATAATTAAATTAACTAATTACCTACTCCTTCACTGTGGAGATAGGTAACAATAATTATTATTACAAGCTGTGCCTGTGACCTCGTCTGCGTGGTATTTTGATTACTAGGTATTGCATTATTTGATATTACCACTATCTAGGGGATTATTTCATGAATATCGGAATGACAATAACTTCTACGTTCTACGCGACTTTATACAATAGAGGAGTCAAACAGTACATTATGATTTGCTTGACTGGTTCTGATAAAATATCACCACCATTTTTAAGTTGGGCTAATACGTACTTGATTGTAAAATTTCGCTTTAAATTTGTAAAATGTTCAATCCGTACAACCATTGTCTCGTGATGAGGTAACAACCGGAAAGACAGACATCAATCATCGATGAATGTAGTAATAATATTATTATAATAATAAAATAAGTCAAACGTTATTGTGAAATGTACAAATTTATTTATTATTTCGTTACAACAGGTGTGGTTAAAGAACTTGGCAAATCTCACGATCCAGACAAACACTTACCACCAGCAATCTTACATTCTGCAGAAGATCACGTGACAAAGAGACATCTTACAGTCTACACTTCAATACATCACAGTAATCAGTCTCAGAGATGAGTGAAAATATATAAGGAGGGATATCTTTAAACCAAGTGATACATGAGTCGCAAACAGGAGACCACATTTAGGTAGACATCCATTAGCCACGACATCCATCCAACACAGGCATCAATCTCACAGACAGGCGATTGTGTTCAGGTAGAAACGTTCATATACAAAGTTCTAAATCAATCACAAACAGAAGTCAATGCTCATGATGGGACTTCCTTCGTCAATAACATCCATCCCACACAGGCATCACTCTCAAAGACAGGCGATTGCATTTAGTCAGAAACGTTCATATACCAAGTCTTAAATCAATCACAAACAGAAGTCAACGCTCATGATGGCACTTCCTTCGTCCAAGACATCCATCCTACAAAGGCATTAATCTCACAAACGGGCGATTGCATTCAGGCAGAAACTTTCGTCCAAGTCAAGGCCAAGTCATACATCTGTCGCTGCCAACGGAAAGTGAAATGTCGATATCGAGCCAGAAAATTGATTACGCCACGGTACCCGTGCCTATGATACCGGGTACTGGCACGTCAATACCTAAGCAACAGATGGATTTGGCAGCAGTATCACTCGCCACACGGTTACCTGAATTTTGAACGGACCAGCCAAAGTTATGGTTTATACAGATAAAAGCTATATTGAACCAACAAAAGTTGAACGATCAGGCAAAGTACGACATTGTTATTGGTAAGCTAAACAAAGATGCAATCACACAGACAGCGGATGTAGTAATTCAGCCTCCAACATCAGGAAAATACGAAGTGTTAAAAGAGCGTTTACTATCAATTACAGAAATTTAGAGAAACTCCTAAGTGAAATGGAGCTGGGGGGAACAAATACCGTCACAACTTTTACGGCGTATGAAAGAATTAGCATGTGCTAAGATACCAGATCACATACTTCGTCTCTTGTGGCAAAGCAATTTACCGCCGGCTATTAGAGCAGTATTGGTACTCTCGGATTATAAAAGTTTAGATAGTTTGGCCGCAACAGCAGATAAGGTCAAGGGTACCACACGACCCATGCAGGTAGCAGAGGTAACATCGTCAGCCACGAGTGACCAGAATACGTCAAAATTATTTTAACGGAGATAGTAAAATTAAGAGAAAATAATCATGCACCGTAATTTTTTAATTTTTGACAAAAAAACATTAAAAACGGTGAAAGGTATAGTACGTGAATTTGCAAGTGGTTTAGCACCTGATCGGAAAAATTGGCGTCATCGTTATTTAAAGTACCAAAGGTAATATCTTCATACGTTATCGATTTATAGCTGCACATTGAAATATTGAATACATAAAATTATTATTTACTTAATTAATCATGGTTTTTTTAAATAAATTAATCTTTATTGAAATTTTAAGAAATTGTTTAAATTAAGCACAATTACAAGATTTGCAAGTTAGTAATTCATTTCCAAGAATGCTACTACCAGTTAGCAGCTACCTACATCTTGCTTGCTCGATCAACTCCCCTTCTATTCTTATTTCACAAATCGTTTTACTTTCTTCTCTTTCAAAAACCATAACCTTCGTCTTACTTGCGTTCACTTTCATACCCCTTTCTTTTAATGATCCGTTCATTAATGTAACCATCATTTGCAACTCGGCCGCCGACGACGCAAGAATAACTTCATCATCGGACTACAAAAGGCATTTGACGGTTAACTCACCCATTCTTAATCTGCATTCTTCAACTTTCAAATTTTGCAAACAACTGTCCATAAATAGGTTGAACAGCCACGGGGAAGCCACACAGCACTGTCTGACAACTTTAATGTCAAACCAGTCCGAGTAGACCCCGTTGATCCTAACACAAGCACTAGAGTCCCTATAAAGAGACTCCAATGCCTGTATCAAGCCAGCGCTCAACCCAAATGAGTTCAGTGTTTGCCATAGCAAATCCCTATCCACTCTGTCATAGGCCTTTTCCAAGTCCAAAAACGCACAAAAAACCTTTTGGTTTTTGGCCAGAAACTTCTCCGCGATCATGCGCATGGAAAAGACTTGATCTGTACATCCCATTCCCTTTCTAAATCCCGCTTGCACATCCCAAATTTTCCCATCAGTTTCTTTCATGACCCTTTCAATCAGTACCTTAGCATACAGTTTTCCCACAATGCTAAGAAGGCTGATGCCACGGTAGTTTTTACAGTCCTGCTGCGACCCTTTTCCTTTATATACTGGGACTAATAAGGCTTTGCACCAGTCTACCGGTACCCGCTTCAGTTCCCAGCATAAATTAAACAAGGTGTGCAGCAGGCCTGCCACCACTTCCTATCCAGCCCTTAGCATTTCGAGTGAAATTCTATCATATCCGGCAGCCTTACCTGCTTTCATGCTTTTCATTGCTTTCATTATTTCATCTATACTTATCTCGCTACCTCTTTCCTCTTCTTTCGGTGTTTCTACTCCACTTAGTACACACGTTATCTCCTCACTCATAAACACGCTTTCAAAATATTCCTTCCATCTCTTTAAAGTCAAAACTTCATCATTCAGAATATAGCCATTCTCGTCTCTTATAGCATTCATCATAGGCTGTTTTGAATGTCCCCTGGCAGTTCTTACAAGTTTCCAGAACATTTTAATATTTGCCTGGAAGTTATCCGATATTCTTCTATCATTTTTATCCGTTCTTTCTTGCTTTTTTCTTTCAACTACTTCTTTTACTCTCTTATTAAGATGTCTAAAGACTGCCTTTTTTCTTTCAATATCACCATTCGTACCACTAGAATTAGCAGCCTTTGTTGCTAGTAAATCTAGCCATGCTGTCTTCTTTGCTTCAACTTCCATACGTATCTCATCATCCCACCATAACGTATTATTTTTCCTTTCATTCCTTCTCTTACTAACACCACATACTTCGGTAGCTGCATCCAGTAAACCTTTCTTTACATTTTGCCATATATTCTCCAAGTCTAACTCTTTCATACATAATTCATCCAAACCACTTATATTTTCTTTCAGTCTACATTCGAACTTGTTTTTATCACTTTCAACTTGTACTTTCTGTTCTAATACGCTGTAACGCAGTGGTGGACACAGACGATCGATGGCGCTAACGCCTGAATAGACCATTAATTCGGCATAAAACTAAATAATGATCCGTTCCTACGTTAGAACCCCGGTAAACTCTCGTATCTACCACTGCGCCCCTCAATCTTTCATCCACAATTATGAAATCTATCATGCTTCTATCGTCACCTCTTTCCCAAGTATACATGTGAATCCTCTTGTGGCGAAAGCAAGTGTTCGTCACAAAAAGATTCTTTTCCATACATACGGTGAGGAGTCTTTCACCATTCTCATTTATACTTTCATCACCAAACGTTCCCAATATCCTTTCATAACCAAGCCTCCTGACCCCAACCCTTCCATTAAAATCTCCTAGCATAATAATATTTTCATTTCCCTTACACTTCATTAACACCATCCTTACCATTTCCCAAAACTGCTCTCGGATATAAGTGGGCTTAGACATGTCTGGGGAGTAGACCCCTAACACAAACAACTTCTTTAAACCCACTTTCATTCGTATCCACAGCAGTCTTGGGTTTACACATTCATACTCTTTCACACATTGGCCCATTCTTTCTGAAAGGATGATACCTACTCCCTGGCATGCCCGCTCGATCTCGTCTACACCAGACCAGTATGCGGTATACATGCCATGTGTAGTGACATCCTTCCCCTTCCTTTTCGTCTCATTTACGCATAACACATCTTAATCCCCAATTGTGTAATAAGAGAAGAGTGTGGTTTGCAAGATGATGTTGTGACCAGGATTAAGAAAGGAATGCTTCGGTGGTTTGGTCATGTGGAAAGAATGAATGAGGAAAGAGTGACAAAGAAAATTTATGGTGCAGAAGTGAATGGCAGAGTCGGAAAGGGACGTCCTAGGCGAAAATTTATCGACCAAATTGGCGATTTATTGAAAACGGGCCAAATTAAGAGTACCCTTAACCGACGAGCATGTATGCGTAGGTGTATGGATGTGAAGGAGGCAAGAGAGGTGTGTCAGGATCGTGCCAAATGGAAGTCTGTAGTCTCTGCCTACTCCTCTGGGTGACAGGCGTGAGTGTTTATGTATATATATTTATGTATGTACAATCGGAAAGATTAGAAGAGTCTGGTAATGTTCCGATTCCTATAAGTACAAGCACTCGGACAGGTCTCAAAGTGAGTTTAAATATATAAATTTAATATAGTACAGATAGTTTCACCATATATCATTCATTAAATGTAAGAGAAAATGTTCCGTTATATAGTAGTCACAATGCAAAGGCCACGTTTATATTGTCCCCTATTTAATTAAATAATTAACAGATAGTCAAATAACATGGATAATATATTTCCGATAATTTTAGTACTATTTATTAACTCTTTATTTTTTTTGGTCTTTGAAAAAAGTTGTAGTTATAATTATAATACATTTGAAGAAACATGTTGAAGACATCGTTAAAAACAGCAATTGTGATGTTTTTAGCGACAATATCCTATTTCTTATCATCTAGCTATATGATTTTTATTGAAAAAAAAAAAGCAATAAAATCTATAGCGACCATTCTCCTTCTCTCTAAACTCCATGGTTTACTATATAAAATTTCTGGAATGCCTATTGAATTCTAAGAATTTTATTTTTATTAATTTAAAGTAAGAAACAATGAATATAATTTCAACAAATATTACTGTGCAATACTACAAATAAAGCGTTCAATAATGTTAAGTTACAAATGGAAAAAGACATAATTAACTACCTGAAGTACAAAATAGGCTTCAGTCCGAAGATACTTTTGGCAGATGAGGCTGTGCCAACTAAATTTCATTGTCAAGAGGATCACAAAAGACGGATATTTGATGCTGGAGCTTCTCGTCAAGTGTTACTTAAAAGGCAAACAATCTATCTTGTCACAGAATGTCTCCGAAAACACAGTTCTACTGAAACCCATACTGAAAGTTTATAAAATGATGTTGAGCCTAAAGGTATGTAATCTATTTATCACAAAAGTTGTAAGTTACTTTTCACATTTAAATGAGTTAAGTTTATATTATTCACATTTAAAGAAAGTAATTAATTTGGTTTTTTGTTTTTTCAGAATCACCAAAAACTCAAGACAAAGAAACAATCACCGACCATACTATAACTGTAGAAAAATCTGTTCAAGTAACAAGAAAAGTGAATATGCATTTTAGGATATATGCAACCTAGATGCCAAAATAAAAGTATTTCTACCTCACCATTTATAGTTTCTACTATATCTCGTTTCACTTCGCCCATTAAGATGCTTGCCCATTAAGATGAATGGTTTACCATTTCATCTTCAACCGTCACAGTTAGAGGTTATCAAAGCAGTTAAGAGAAATATTTTCCTTGAATAAAAAAATTAGATAGTGATATTTCACCTTTTGTAGTTACATCACATCATCAACAAGGGTTACGGATTCAGATAGTAATGTTACAGATAAGAATGCGAATATTGAAAAATTACAGTGCCTCAAAACTACCAAACGTTAAAATGAAATGAAACCTTTTTATTCAGTTGTTGCATAGACACACAAACAAATACAAAACACATTTTGCTATGCTCGTAAAAAATTAGATAGAACAGCACATTTTCTGAACCAGAGGATAATTTTGGTATATCATTATCTTATGCCAGTAAATAATTTTAAGTCTCTTACAAATTGAACTTGACATTGTTTAATAAGGAGCGGACTGTATTAAAATTGAAAGTCATAGGTATCCGGCCGGTATTCGAGCCGGATAGGCTCGAAAGACCAGAAATTATGTTACAGCTTGAATGTTTCGCAGTGTTTCGTGGTTACTTTTGGGAACCAGGGAACAACCAGCCCAAAGGTTGGCTAACCCGATGATCCCAACAGGGAAGTAAACGAAAATAGCTTTAAAGCTGGGTAGATATATAAGGTGAATCCTAAATATTTATGCTGAAGTTCTAGTGTGTACACAGACACTACACTGCACTTCGAATGTATATGTACACGAGCAAGTGCACGATAATCTTATTACTTTAACTATTGAGTATTTCAAGCAAGCGGTAACGAACACGATTTATGCGTACTGTAACGGTTTCCCAATACTAGGAAAAACCCTTAATCATGGATAATAATTGATTACATAGATTTCCACTAATTAGTCATGTCATCATTTAAAGCATTGATTTTCAAAGGGAGGGGGCGCGCCCCACTAGGGAGGCGCGAAGACATCTACAGGTGGGCGCGGTTGCGGGCGGTGGTTATCACTGCGGTCACTCGCGCGCATACGTATCGCACGCTCCTCAGTCCCTGCGCCGCCCGCGCCTTGCAAACACGTGTACTTTTGTTTCAAAGCGACTTGCTATTGTGAGTTAGTTAGAGTTAGAGAGTAGTGACAGTGAACGGTTATTTCTTTTGTTTCACCATGAGCTCACCCAAAAAAAACGCAAGTATAATGATGATTATATTAAATACGGTTTTGTTTCTATGAATAAAGTGGTATCGACCAGCCGCAGTGTGTTATTTGTTATGAAGTATTGAGCAATGATGCCATGAGACCTTCGCGTCTGGAACGACATTTGTCAACAAAACACAGCGCTTTAAAAGACAAGCCGAAGGTGTTTTTTGCTTCAAAATCTGCAAGTTTGAAGCGCATGAAATTGGATAGTACTGGATCCTTTGCTCAGTCATCTGAGAAAGTGCTTGAAGCATCATATGAATTAATGATTTCTTAAATTTACGCGAACACTACACATTGAATAAAACTAAATTTACGGATTTTATCGCGTTTATTTCACTACTTTTACTTATTTATATATAATTCCCGACGTTTCGGGTGCTTTACAGCAACCATGGTCACGGGGGGGATTGAGATGTTTGACATCCCAATGTCATTGTTAGCCCGGCTGCCTTCAGTTTTTGAATATTAATTTTTTGGTCCGATTTGCGCAAAACGAACTTACAGTATCTTGAAGTCTTGCAGTGGTATGCTTGGGTTTGGGTTTAATTTTGTTAATTATAGGATCCCAAGCAGATGGCAGCACCCAACCATCTTCTCTATTGAAATTAGAATGTTTTTTAATTTCAATAGCCTCGCGTATCACCCTTGGTAGGAATCGGTGTTCTTTTGCGAGGACTTGTGGTTTATCAAATCTGATGTAATGGTGGGGACGATCTTGAACATGTTCACAGACTGCAGACTTCCCGGAGCGTCGGTGCTTCACGTCAGCTATATGTTCTTTCACGCTGGTTTTTATGGATCTTTTTGTTTGACCTATGTAAGAGAGACCACATTCACAATCTAACTTGTACACTCCTGCATCTTGTAGAGGGATATTACACTTGACGGATGGTAAAAATTGATTATCTTCTTCGGCGCTTTGTAGTATGTTTTAATGGAAGCTCGCTTCAAGATGTAGCCAACCTTGTCTGTGATTCCTCTGACATATGGTAGTACAGCAGGTACACACTAGACTGTGGCCGGCTTCACTCGGTCACTGTGACGTAGGCGCGGAACCCGAAGCTTGTTGTCTTGCAATACTTGCTTCACATGCTGAAGTTCGGCGGCCAGATGTTTTCTGTCACAGATCCCTCGTGCTCTGTGAAACAAAGATTTATACCATTTAAATATCGGTTGATATGGGTCTTTTTCCTATACACAGTGTGACCAATTGTGTTATTAGGATTACGAATGACTAAAACATCTAAGAAAGCTAAAGAATTATTTGCCTCTAACTCCATTGTGAATTGTATTATAGAGTTTATAGAGTTAAGGTGGTTTAAAAATGCAGTTACTTTGTCAGATGGTAAAATTGTGAAAGTGTCGTCTACGTACCGCTTGTAGAATCTTGGATTTACAGGAGCAGTAAGAAGAGCTTTCTCCTCGAAGTCCTCCATGAATATGTCGGCGACTATTGGAGATACAGATGAGCCCATCGCCACACCATCTACTTGCTTGTAGAACTCTTCCTTCCACAATAGATAGCCAGATGTGAGGCAGTGTTTGAGTAATACTGCATATTCAGCAGGCATGTTATTATCTTCTAGCTTCCTAGTTACAATTGATATGCAGTCTTCAATAGGTAGGCATGTGAATAGTGACTGAACATCAAAACTGACCATAGTTTCATTGTCAGCAAGATGTAGGTCTTTTATCTCACTAACAAAATGGTATTAATCCTTTGTGTGTGCTCTGGTATGTCCTCTCAGAGGTGACAGTACTTTTGCCAAGTGTTGTGCCAGCTTATAAGTTGGTGAATCGATCTGGCTCACTATAGGACGTAGTGGAGCGTTTGGTTTGTGTATCTTCGGTAACCCATACAACCTCGTTGTTTTGCTACATGATGTGAATGAATTCGCTAATACCATCCTAGGATCCTATAATTGACAAAATTAAACCCAAACCCAAGCATACCACTGCAAGACTTCAAGATACTGTAAGTTCGTTTTGCGTAAATCGGACCAAAAATTAATATTCAAAAACTGAAGGTAGCCGGGATAACAATGACATTGGGATGTCAAACATCTCAGTCCCCCCCGTGACCATGGTTGCTGTAAAGCACCCGAAACGTCGGGAATTATATATAAATAAGTAAAAGTAGTGAAATAAACGCGATAAAATCCGTAAATTTAGTTTTATTCATTATATGAATTGTCGCTACTCATTGCAAAGGCCAAAAAAGCCATACTATCAGAGAAACACTCGTCAAACCCTGCTTACTGAAAGCAGCTGATATCGTTCTTGGACCAGAAACTAAACAAAAATTTTCACAAATACCTCTTTCTGACAACACTGTTAAACGTCGCATTGATGATATGGCTGAAGATATAAAAAATCAGGTAGTTGAGGCCGTGAGAGAATCATGTTTTTTTGCAATAGAGTTGGATGAGAGTACAGATGTTGCGCAATGCTGTCAACTGTTAGTTTTTGTCCGATACATACAAAACGAAACAATTAAAGACGAATTGCTGTTTTCAACAGAGTTAACGACAACTTCGAAAGCAATTGATATAATGACAGCAATCTCTGAATTCTTTGATAAACATGAACTGTCATGGAAAAAGTTGATAGGCGTATGCACAGACGGCGGTCCGGCAATGCTTGGATCTCGTTCAGGATTCGTACAGTTGGTCAAAGAAAAAAATCCCAACGTAATTACCATTCACTGTTTTATACACCGTCAAGCCTTGGCAGCTAAAACACTTCCAAAGGAACTCTATGACGTCTTAAAATTATACATTAAAATTGTTAATGATGTTAAAAAGAGTGCATTAAACACGCGGCTTTTTGCGGCTCTCTGTGAAGATTTGGACACAGAACACAAGACATTGTTATTTCATACAGAAGCTTTCAAAAGGAAATATGTTGACAAGATTGTTTGAACTGCGAGATGAAGTAATTCAGTTTCTAGACATTCAAATACAAACTGAATTGTTTGTGGAATTTAAAACACCATGGGTCTAAGTAATATTTGCTTATTTATCAGATATTTTTAATTCATTGAATACTTTAAACTTGAAATTACAAGGTGGAGACTCGAAAATAATTCATCATCGGGATGCTATCACACCATACACCGAGAAGTTGCAACTGTGGAAACGCAAAATTTTGACGTCTAACTATTCCTGCTTTCCTAAATTACTTCCGATCACAGAAGAAGCGTGTTTTAAGGAGATTTTGGACGTAATTGATACCACGAATCAAATATCAAACCATTTGCAACACCTCACGGACGAATTCAAGCGCTACTTTCCCGACTCGTGCAACAATATTATGTACCGATTAGCGACCGATCCTTTTCACGTCGACATAGACATGCTGCCAGATACATTACAAGAGCAAGCATTAGAAATCAAAAATGATTCTGCTGCCCAATATAATTTTGAGAAGATGGATAAGGCACTATTTTGGATTAAATATCTCAAAGTTTATCCCAGCACAGCAGAGCAGGCACTAAAATTATTTCTACCTTTTTCAAGCACTTATTTGTGCGAAAAACCATTTTCAGCAGTTGGAGCAATAAAAACAAAGTATAGAAGCAAATTAGATATTGCTAGTGATCTACGTTGTGAAAACTATGCAAGCTCCATCCGTCACATTGATTCTTCTTAATCTGAAGTGTGTAAAAGCCATATTTTTTTTAATAAATAAAACATCTGAAAATGTATTTGTTTTACTATACAACGTTATTCTTCTTACTTTTTGACGAAAAATATAACATGGTTTAAAAACTATTGGAATCGATTCTGTAACGGATTCCGAACAAACTACTTTCAGGTTTCGCATCAATATATATAATATATAACCTTGTATACCCGTATTATACCCTTATTTTATAAAAAATATTTTACAATTGCTTGGCGATCCCACTTGCTGCTACTTGCTGGGTCCTGGGCCGAGGTGAGGCGTGGGCATATTAATTTTAAGCTGTAGGGAGGCGTGATACTTATAAGTTTGGGAACCCCTGATTTAACGGCAGCTCTGCTTCCCGCTCCCGGTGAGAAGTTAGTCTCTACCCGACCGCTGAATCCCTAACATCTCTCTCCGTATCATCGCGTGTCTGCCAGTTTCGACTCCGGGCTATTTAATATTGTATTAAATTCTATTTCTAAATATTACTATTTCCGATTGTATAATAAGTGTTTTTAACCTAATTTACGAGGTCCCGTACAACATTACGCGGCCATCTTGCTTGTTATTTTTCTTGGCGATAAATGGCGCATCATTCTTGAGTCGTGCGTGCGCTGAGGCGGAAGGATAGAAAATACTTAGAAAAGGATATTATATCAGGACTGTTCTGAAGTGATTACTCCGGCACTGATTCAGGAGATGAATACAGGCGTAGCCCTCGTTCAAGGCCATCTTCATTCCGTAGCTCAAGTAGCAGTTCCAGCAGTAGCTTCAGTAGCAGTTCCAGTGGCAATTCAAGTAGCAGTTCCAGTAATACTTCTGCTGAAAATAATAATTCTAATGATGAGTCTTGCTTAGCGATTTAAAAATTCTGGTCAAACTTATATCTCAGTAAGCACCGAAAAACTAAATCAAGGTCAAGCAATGAGACCTACTTGTACCTCAAAATGGCGGTTGTCCTGTGCTCCAAAATTTACTGAACAGTCTTATTGGAAGTTGGAGAGTGTAAAAAAAGGGTTTTTAAACGCTTGTACAAGAACATTAAAATGTGCTTACCGCCGCATAAAGACTAATATAATAAAATGTACGACAGAAAAGAAAACACTGCATATTACTTGCTTAATGAGAATATAGAGATCCGCGTCTTTAAAACTTTTCTCATGAACACTCTGTGTATACGGACTTTTATTGACGGCAAAGCACGGAATGATGGATTTACTCCACTTGATTAACGAGGAAAATACGAAAAATAATGCAAGTTGCAACCTGAAGTTATACAATCAACTAAAAAACTAAAGCACAAGACTTTAACATTTTATTTTTCAAACCCAAAAAAGATCGTTGCGATGAATGTGATACGATGATGATGATGATGATGCAAGTATACGAAAATATATCAGGAGGAAAAAAGCTTAAGTAGACTTGAAAAACACAGGAATCTGAAAAGATGTCATGAATCTGACAACAAAACAATTGTTTTCACCTATGATTTACAAGCGGCGTTACCCTGTCCTGTTGACCAATCAAGCTCTTTTTACTACAAATCAAGACTTAATTGTTATAATTTAACAATATCTATTGCAAACAAGGAAGAAACAACCTGTTATTTTTGGTACGAATGGTTGGGCAATAGAGGAGCCATCGAAATAGAGTCGGGTGTGTATAAATACCTAGAGCAGACTGCATTTGAAAAACAAGGCTGCGATGCCGTCATTTATTCTGATATTTTTTGTGGTCAGCAAAAAAAAATCGATTTGTTTTTGCAATGTACCACTATGCAGTGAGTCACTTAAATAACTCAATTCAACACAACTTTTTGATTAGTAGCCACAAGCAAAATGAAAGTGACGCAACTCATTCAGTAATAGAAAAATCTGTGACTAGAGCCAAAAATACTGGATGTATTTATGTTCCTGGCCAATAATACATTTACCTAATTCGTGGGTCCAAAAAAGACTGGCAAACTATTTGTGGTAAATAAAATGAATTATGAGGATTTCTTCGATTTGAAATCTCTTGAGGAGAACATGAACTTTAATATGGCGAAAAATGTCAATGGAGACGTTATCACTAGCGACATCAAAAGTATTAAATTCACCAAGAATTATGAAAATTACCAATACCGAACCACTAACAAAACTGAAAACTGGGAGGAAGCTAAAGCTATTGTCCAACCAAAAATCAAAAAATCAATCGAAGAATAGATGAAATTATCTTGAAGCAAGCTTACGAGTACACTTCAAAAATACCAATTACAGAACGCAAAAAGCGTAATTTATTGCAATAATTGGAGGCTAGTCTCGTGGCAAGATACTATGAAAGTTTTTACAGTGATCTCATATAATTTTTATTTTACTTAAAATTTACAAAGCAACATTTACACTTACAGGGGTAAACAACTTTATTGTAACCGCAGCGTTAAAGACTCCCTGATTTTCCTGAGAATGTGGGAGTGATTCTAAGTTAGAGTGTTTACCGAATTAGTATGATATGTTCATACTAATTAAAATAAGTAAAATAATTTGTATTTGATACTCTTAATTAATACGTAATTAGATTTGAATACCATACGGGTACAATAACAGTGATTAAAATGCCTAATTACTGACCCGACCACCCGAACACCTCTTATATACGTACAACCTTGGGTCTGCGTCTCCGGCAGCTCCCTTATATCAGCAATCTTTACACTAAAGGTAAAACCGCACTAGACGGAACTGCACTGCAGCGCAACTCCGCAACACGACGCGTCAAAATATTCTTTATATGAAATTATATGAGACAACACGCACTAAGCAGCAACGGAACTACACTGAATCAGAACTGCGCGATAAAGTTGATCAACTCACCAAAAGTGGCGCGACCTGTCGCGACGTGTAGTTCCGTTGCCGCTTAGTGCGGTTTCACAAACACAAAGACATTTTCATAGTCAGTCAAACAAGATACTCGGAAGCACGTAAGCGTTTGTCAAATATGTCGATTGATGAAGAAAAATTAATTGTACTCGTGAACTAGTACCCGGAGATATATGACGTCCAGCATGATAATTATATGAACACTTCCACAAAAAAAAAAACAACTTTGGAGTCAAATAACCCAAGAAATGGGAGTAAATGGTAAGCAATTGTGTATTTTTTGCTGTGAATGGATGTCGGCCTCTCCAATAATAATTGGTTTCATATAGTTGTTTAACTTGGAATTATAAAAAGACCTTTATTAATTAATATTATTGATTATTTGTCATGAAAGTGTACGTAACAAGAATAAAATAAGTAAATATTTTTCATTTTATAGTACAGAATGAAAAATAAGTACCTACTTTAATAAAAACATTTTATAAAGTGTTAAATGTTTTTATTAAGGTAGGTACATAATTTAAGGGTATTGAGGTACTATTTCCGTAATTCGCTCTGGGGCCCGCTTCACAAAACTACAATTTACAAATTACAAGTGCAATTCGATGTGTACATTGCGTAGCGTATTTGTCATTTAAGAAATCGGTTTTAAAAATGCCGAATTATCCACGTAATGAACTTCGAATTGTACTTGTAATTTGTAAATTGTAGTTTTGTGAAACCGGCTCCTGATGTCAGCCCCTGTTTACTAACTTGAGAGGGATTAAAGTTATTTGAAAGTATTTCTATTTTTTATTACTTGGATAGCGTTGTTTACAAAATTACCTCCTATACGAGGAAGATCTCGTAATTGGCATTTCTGGCTGTCAGTTTCTTCATTATGAAATGATACTGTATCATATCTAAGAAAATTGTGCAGGACACAGGTAGAAAGAATTACATTATATACGTGATCCGGACTGAGGCAGATGTTGCGATAGTAGATTCGGAATTTTTGGCACAATATGCCAAATACGTTTTCTGAAACTCTTCGGGCTCTACTATGCCTCTTATTGTATATTCTGCGTTGGTCATCTAATTGTGCAGCAGGATAAGGTCTCATCAAGTACGTTTTCAAAGGGAAAGCTTCGTCACCAAATATTACGTGAGGCTGGCGAACTGTGGTCCCTGGTAATGCTTTTGGCTCTGGTATATTTAATGTATTTGCTTCCAATTTTGCCGCTAAATTTGATCGTGAATATATCCCTGCGTCGCTGTTCTTTCCAAGATCACCGACATTTACATATATAAATTTATAATTCACATCCACTAAAGCAAGCATCACTATAACAAAAAATTGTAATTAAAATAAAGAGAGCCACTATTTGGTGGCGAGATAATTTCTATATGCTTGCCATCTAATGCACCAATGCAGTTGGGATAATTCCATTTCTCAGAAAAAATTTTTTCAATATTCCGCCATTCGTCTTTTTTTGGTATAGGCATTACCATTTTAGATAAAACTTTCCATAATGCTGAACATGTAGTATGTACGATTTCTTGTGTAGTTGTATATCTCAAACGAAAAGATTGAAGGAATTGCCAGTAGCTAGCAACCTGAAACAATAAACAATAAAAATTAATTTATATTTTTATTTTCAGCAAATCTCTGCAAAGACAAATGGAAATCTTTAAGAGACGGTTATCAAAGATGCTTAAAAAACCGCAAATGCAAGATTGAAGAGGGTGCCTTAAAAAATAAGCAATGGAAGTACGAGAATCAGATGGAGTTTTTAAAACAATACCTTTATGAAAGAAAAACAAAGGGTAACTTTGGGGACACTGGATCAATTACAAGTGATGATAATGTCTCTAATGAAAATTCTCCTCACGAAATGGTCCCGATCAGCCCCGAGTCAGCAAACTCACCTTTACCTTCATCACCAACATCAACGATGTTCAAAAAAATATCAGCAAGAAAAAAAATCAAACAAGTGAGCCATCTGTAGCCAGCGTTCTACAGAAATATATGGAGTCACGGTCATCTACAACTACTATACAGGATATTGAGAACCCTATATATTCCTTTTTCAAACCTATGGCTGACTCCGTCGTGAATTTGCCTCCACACTTGCAGTTGAAAGCAAA